GGGGCCCTCACTAGAACTCAACCCTGCTGGCACCCTGATCTTTGGAGTTCCAGCCTCCAAAACTGTAAGAAATAAACGAGTATTACTGAAGCCACACATTCTATGGTATTTTGTCATAGCAACCTGAGCTGTCTAAGACAATCAGGGAGGTTGGGGTCATAGGAAACTCATAAAGAAGTTCTCATGGAGAAAAAGAGAGAAAATGTCACACACAAAGGTATAGAAGAAAAGAATGTGGCACATACAAAGCTCAATTTGCCAATAATGTAGGGTAGAGGAACAAGAGAGGAGGCCGGCAAGGGTTGCCCTCTACTTACGTGATGAGTTCCTGTTGCAAGTGCTGTAACTCATGAGCCAGTTTATTTTTATCCCCTCGTAAATTCTGGAATTGCACACAACATTAGGCTGTACATGTTACTCTAGTGGGGAATTTACATTTAACAAGCCTACCTTGCAAGCTGTGAGATTATTAATAACAACAGGTATACCTCTATAATGCTTCCATATTCTATGATGGTTGATTTAAGTTCTTCTATATATAAGCCTTTCTGAAAAGTAGAAGAGAGAAATAATAGCAAAAAAGTAATGGGTCCACCAAATCATATTTATTAGACTATCGATGTGAGCCACAGAAGAATTGTAAATGCCCAATCATCATGCGATTCTACAAGTCTCACTATTTGAAAACTGAACCAGTCAGTGTTTGTGATTAAAAACACACAAGGATGGCTGGGTGCAGTGGCTCACGACTGTAATCCCAACAATTTGGAAGGCCGAGGCAGGCAGATCACCTGAGGTCGGGAGGTCCAGACCAGCCTGACCAACATGGGGAAATCCCGTCTTTGCTAAAAATACAAAATTAGCCAGGTGTGGTGGCACATGCCTGTAATCCCAGCTACTCGGGAGGCTGAGGCAGGAGAATCACTTGAACCCAGGAGGTGGAGGTTGCGGTGAGCTGAGATCACGCCACTGCACTCCAGCCTGGGCAACAAGAGCGAAACATCGTCACAAACAAAAACAAAAACACACACACACACATACACACACGGACAAAAAGGCAGCAATATGTAACTAGTGTCAATATAATCTGTGTTTGTCCGATCCAGTGGAATCAAACTCTAAAAGGTGATTTTTGAGCCCAAATCGAAATTATATTCATCATCATGATGTGTTAAAGAAAAATCAAATCTTGCAAGTGATCGATGAAATTAAGGCATCTGATTTTTTCCA